CAAAAAAAAAAATAAAAAAATAAAAAATAATAAAATAAAAACAACTGACAAAGAACTTACATTCAGCATATAAAAAGAACTCTCAAAACTCTATAAAAAGATGACAACCGAAGTTTTTAAATAGGCAAAAGATTTGAACAGACACTTCCCCAAAGAAGATGGATGGATGACAACGAGCACATGAACTAATATGCTTGACATCACCAGCCATTAAGCAAACGCGAATTAAAACCACAATGAAATATTGTCACACACCTACCAGAATGACTAAAATTAAAAAGACTGACCATACCAAGTGTTGTCAAGGCTGTGGAAGAGTCAGAACTCTCATATACTGCAGGTGGGACTGCGAAATGTTGCAATCACTTTGAAAAAACACTCTGGAAGTTTTTAAAAAAGTGCTTTTTAACATATACCTACCAAATGGCCCAGCCATCCCTCACATACATGGTTAGCCAAGAGATATGAGCGTGTACGCCCACACAAGTGCTGGTATTTGAGTGCACATAGCTGCTTCATTTGGAATAACCCAGACTGGAAACAACCCAATGTCCGTCGGTGGGCAGACAGGAAAACAAACTGTGGTATAGCTGTGTGATGAAATACTCAGCAACGGAAAGAATAAATCACTGATACACAAAGTGAATCTCAAAATGATTATGCTGAGCGAAAGAAGACAGATTTTAAAAAGGGCTTGCTATTGGGTTTCATTTATGTAAAATTATGAGAAAAGCAAATTGATAGTGAGACAAAGCAGATCAGACATTGCCTGGGGCAGGAGAGGGGACCAGCCGGAAGGATTGTAAAGTACCGCAAGGAAACTTGAGGGAGTGATGGACGTGTTCACTCTCTGGGTTCTGGTGATTGCTTCAGGGATGCATTCGTATGTCAAAACTTACACCTATCAAATGATCCAGCCATTCCACCCCTAAGTATTTACCCGAGAGACATGAAAGCACATGTCCATGCAAAAACCCATGTATAGTGTTCAGAACTAGATCACTGATGATTCTTTACCAAGAATGGAGTTTCTGGAGTAAACTCCATTAAGTTAACTTCTGTTTCTTGGTCAGTTTTCTACGTATTAAAGATGAATCATTTTCATTTTTTCACATTTCCATTGTAAATTTTCTAAGATTGGATTCACCAGAACGTTTTCCCTTGCAAATATTGTAAGATTTCATATATTGATGAGATACACAACGAGGACCTCTGCCTCTGTATGTGTCAGTATTGTGCATGATCCCTGCCACGCCCACTGTTCTGGCATCAGAGTCTTGCCCTGTAGAGTTTAGCCACTGTCAAACCATTTTCTTTTATTGTTGCTTTTCTTTTATTGCTGCTATCAATAAGCTTCATTATGAATTTGGTTTTTACAAATACTTTTCATTGGCTTAGGCGTCCCATGAGAAAACAGTGAGCACACCTCTCAGATGTCCAGGTGGGCACACCCCTCAGATGTCTAGTTTTAGTTTGTCACACAGCTGGTCATTCTTCCCTGTTTCTCCTGTCACTATGCGCAGGAGACGCCTGCTTCAGGATCTGAAAGTTTAAGGGTAAAACTACCCATAGGAACATGAAGGCAGATCAAAGAGTGTCAATTTTAAAAATGAAAATTGGGGCCAGGCACGGTGGCTCAAGCCTGTAATCTCAGCAGTTTGGGAGGCCGAGACGGGTGGATCACAAGGTCAGGAGATAGAGACCATCCTGGCTAACACGGTGAAACCCCGTCTCTACTAAAAAATACAAAAAATTAGCCGGGCGAGGTGGCGGGCGCTTGTAGTCCCAGCTACTCGGGAGGCTGAGGCAGGAGAATGGCCTAAACCCGGGAGGCGGAGCTTGCAGTGAGCTGAGGTCCGGCCACTGCACTCCAGCCCAGGCGACAGAGCGAGACTCGTCTCAAAAAAAAAAAAAAAAGAAAAGAAAATTGGAACATCTATTACATTGGTAAAGATAGACATGTTTGACAAGAACAGTGTTGACTTAGATGTAGGGAAATGGACACTCTCATGCACCACAGAAGGCTAAACATTCCTCCCTAGGAAAGAACTGTGGCACTTTGTCTTATAAGTAACCCTATTGTGGAAGATCAATGTAGAGACATAAGATGGGCCTGTACACACTAACATAGAAATATCTCTATATTTGCTAAATGGAAAAGCAAGTCATAGAGCAGTACGAATGTTGAAAAAGCAGGAGATTATGTGACCTGTCACCGTATTAATGTGCGTGTGAAGTTTCCAGGAATCACGGCTTGAATTCTCCATCCAGTCTATGGTCTCCCATAGGGTGTTCCTTGAGAGTAGGCCCTGTCTCTCCAGGGAGATCCAGATGTCAGCTATAGGTGATAGACCCAGGGTAAGATTTTCTCCGTCACTGGGGAGAGAAGGAACTAAGGACAAGGAGCATTTATGGGGAGACAGAATCAAGAAAATCAACTCTGGATCCCAGAAAGCTCAGAAGAGAAACAGTGAAGTCTCTGGGGTAGAAGAAAGCTGCTGCTGCTGTAGCTCAACCCCAACTTGTCCAAAACCCCTTCGTGACCGCAGCCAGCACACCTTGCCCCATACATCTATGTGCAAACCCACCTGGCTCTGTGTCTGGCTCAGGGTCACTGAGGGTGAATTCCAAGCTGCTGCTGTTACGGCTTCTGCACAGGGCCTTGCATTTTGTATGCTTAATATTTAGAGAATGTCAAGTGTCTGGCACCAGGGTACAAAGATCATACACCCAGTAGGAAGATTAAGAAACTGGCTTCAGGAGAGAGAGCCTAAAAGTCAACAAAATGAATTACCAACTCCAACTTCAGAAGCACCAGCTCTTAGCCAAGGCAGATAGAACGTTTTAAGTGTGATCAGCTGTTACTATTCTACGGCGCTATGGGCCATTCGACTCAATATGCAAGCCCTCCTATGTGGCCAAAGCATTTCAGGGGTCATAAGAGGAAAATGGCAGGCACCAAAGTGCCCCTGCAGATAAGCATAAGAGTATGCACCAGCTGTGCTGGGCGTGGTGGCTCACGCCTGTAATCCCAGCACTTTGGGAGGCCAAGGCGGGCGGATCACGAGGTCAGGAGATCGAGACCATGGTGAAACCCCGTCTCTACTAAAAATACAAAAAATTAGCCGGGGAGGTGGTGGGCGCCTGTAGTCCCAGCTACTCAGGAGGCTGAGGCAGGAGAATGGCGTGAACCCGGGAGGCGGAGCTTGCAGTGAGCCGAGATCGCGCCACTGCACTCCAGCCTGGGTGACAGAGCGAGACTCCATCTCAAAAAATAAAAATAAAAAAGAGTATGCACCAGCAGTTACCACCAGCTGGCCCATGAATGACAGTCCACGTTCATGCATGTTTCCGGTGTCAAGCCCTGCTTTGATGCTCTGCATCTGTCCTTATTTCATGGTCACACAGCCCTCTGGCACATCTTCCCCAGAGCACAGAGCTTATAAGGGGTGGAGCAGGGTATTTGTTTGAACCTAGGTAGACCAATAAATTTTAAAGATGAAGATTCACAGCTGCTCCATCCCTCGGATGTCCAGGTGGGCACACCCTAGGCGTGGTCCTTTGAGCTTTCACAGTCAGGGTTCCTCCCACCTGCCATGGCACCTTCTCTGCCACCTGTCTTGGTAACCGGGGCATAGGACCACCTTGCACTTGACTGACACAAGCCACTAGGTGGACACACGTACGAGTGAAAACTTGTTGCAATGACTGTGCAGCCAAGAGCCAAGGTTTTCTCTCTTTCTGAGACCTGCCATCTTCAGTCTCACAAGGGGTTAAACCAGCAGTCAAGTTTTGCATTTTTACTCCCTGATCAGAGTAAGCAGTTGGCCTGAACCCATCAGGATTTCCTTTTTTTTTTTTTTTTTGAGACAGAGTCTCACTCTGTCACCCAGGCTGGAGCGCAGTGGTGCAGTGGTGCGATCGTGGCTCACTGCAACCTCCGCCTCCCGGGTTCAAGCAATTCTCCTGCCTCAGCCTCCCAAGTAGCTGGGATTACAGGCACCGCCACCACACCTGGCTAATTTTTCTGTGTTTTTAGTAGAGATGGGGTTTCACCATATTGGTCAGGCTGGAGGATTTCTTTCCCAGGATTTTGCAAATAGATGTGAACAGTTCCAAGTACTCTATGCTGCTGTCCCCAGCATGGGGCAGGGTGGGGCAGGTACTCTATGCAGACCAGGGTCATGCCTTGCCTGGGTTCCTCACCATTCTTGGTATCTGCTTCTGGCCTTTCCTATTGGTTCTGTGTGACATCTTTTCATCCTTATCACTTAAATGGCTCTAACTGGTTTCTGTTCCTTGCAGTGGAAGGTCTTAAAATAAATAACCCCAAATCCTAAGGAAGCCATTCAAAGCTCACTCGGGGCATCCAAAAAGTATTCCACATTGCAGTTCCTGGAAAGCTCTAGCAAAGAATACATTTTTAAATTTGCTCAAATCCAGGAACTATTAAGATTTAACTACAGGCAAGTAATGAACAGTAAAATTGTGTTTGGTAGTAGACACTTGTTTTGGTGGCCCAGTGGCCTCTTTAGCCTTTGTGTTCTGCGGGGTTCAACCTTCATGCAGAATCTTCTCTGTGGGCGTCGACACCACCAGGAAAACACAGCCTCCTGATAGAAGACTTGGACCCACACCCCTTCTTTCCCAGTCAGCTCACTCCCAGCTGCTGTTTTGGAGGCCCACCCCCTTTGACTTGCACATGCAGAGATGGCTCTTTTATTTTCACCATTTGTCGTTTTCCCTAAGTGAGAAATAAGGACCATTCCTGGTCTACAGCCCCAGGTCACCTCATTCCAGCATTACAAATCAAGATTTTAAAAAACACAATTGGCACTAATGTACAAGCAATTCCATCTTATTGTAGGGTGAAGGAGAGAGGGTAGATTTTTTAGGGGAAATTTGGGTTGAGTTGGGAGGGGAGATAGGAAGAAGTCCAGAAAGCATCCCTTTATGTATATGCATGTATACATACAGATATGTGTGTGTGTGTGTGTGTGTATATATATATGTTTATTTATTTATTTCATCTTTCCTTTTTCTCAGCACTGAAGGGCTCACTGGGTCTGTTGAGAACCGGGTCAGATCAGGAGGTAGAGGTCAGTTCTGGGAGCTCTGTGGTCTCCATATCATAATAGTTCTTTCCGTCGGAATAGGTCTTCCCCTTCAAGGCCTCTATGAGCTGCTGTAGGCGCTTGGCAAAAGAAAGTCCTTGGGGAGGTTTTGTGGTAGATGAGGGTGGAGGTGGGGGCGGGGGTGGAGGTAAAGGTGAGGGTGGAGGTGGGGGTGGGGGCGGGGGTGGAGGTGGGGGTCGAGGCTGAGCTGAAGGTGGTCGGGATGGAAGTGGTCGAGGGGGCGGTTGGAAATACCAAGGAAGGTGAGCAGAGATAGGGTGGGAGGAGGGGAGTCGAATTGGGGGCGGTCTAGTGGTGGGGGGTGGAGGGGTGGCCGGTTGAATCATATGCAGAGCATTAGAACCAATCTTGGAGGCAATCCAGTTCAGATAGGGCCAGGTGGCCGTGTAGATTCCGGGGCGCTTGGCACGGGCACAGCCTACCCCCCAGCTTGTGATTCCCACGACCACGTAGGCGCCTTTCTTGCTGTCTTTGCACATGAGAGGCCCGCCACTGTCCCCCTGCCCAGAAGGACACAGAGGTCACGATCTGCCTGAACCACTCTTTCCCTGCCAAGAGGGGTCAGAAGGCTCTGGGAGGACAATTTCCACAGTCACATGGTTTCCTGCTGCCATAAACACAAGTGGTTGTGGTAAAGTTTGAGGGGGTGTCAAGGGCTTCATTTGGGATGTGAGGAGGGTGTGGATTGTCAGGGCTTTCCTTGCAGTGAGATGAGCAAGCGCACGTGTCCATAGGGGCACATGGCAGGGGCTGCCCGTGGCTGCCACCTCTCATCCCCACTGTGACTGTAGGTGCTAGAAAAGGGACCAGGGAAGCAGTCACTAGAGAAGGGCCCTAGGCAGAGGGGTGGAGATAATGGAGCTTGGGGATCCAAAATGAGGATGTTCTCAGGGGCCGGGAGAGTCCCGGAGGGACCCAGGGGCCCAGAAGCCAGAAGGAAGGTTACCTGGCAGGTGTCGATCTTGCCTAAAGGATACCCCGCGCACACATTGGTTGGCTGAATGCGCCCATTGTACCACTGGGTCGAGTTACACAAGTCCAGGTCGATGAGATCCACACGTGCCTCCATCAGCATAGATGATGGCCTGGGGGCTACAGTCAGACCACTCAGTGGTCAGTGATCATGGGAGATGCGGACAAAAGCCCTGCCTCCTTGCCCCACCGAACCCCATCCTCTGTGACGCTCCAGTTAAACCTCAGACCCATCCAGTCAATGCCCCGACCTCTCCTTATACACCAGAAAGAGCAGACGAGAGGTGGTGGGAGGAAGTGGGGAAATGTTACCCAAATCAAGTCCAGAGGAGCGAGGAAGAGAGGAAGGAAGGGTGGAGGCCCATGGACAGGTAGATGGAGAATGGGCGGTGGAGGGTGGGTGTGCATATTAACGGTGGATTATGGAGGTTAGCTGCAGTATTACCAATAACACCTAGTGTGCACTAAGCACTCACTGAGTCACATGGTCCCGTTATTCCCATTTTGGACCAGAAGGCTGGAGCACTGCCCACCCAGGTCACATCAGAGATGTGGTAGGGCTACAGCCTGGCCTCAGGACTGCTCCTCTCCAGACTCCAGTCTGAGACACACTGTCCACTCCCACAGTCTGGCTGTAGGCCACCCTCCCTGCTTCTTGTCCCTCATCAGGACTCCTTGGCTCAGCTGTGGACAGCATCTGCTGGAGTTGGATCGATAAGCCCCTCCCCATATGCTACAGATCTGTTCCAAGGAGACTGCAAGGGAAGCTCGGGGCAGCGCCTCCACACACTGGCAGACCTGGCAGGGGCAGAGGCGGTTGAAACGACCCTGATGCGGAACTTCCTTGAAAACCCTGGACTCAGCCGGGCACAGTGGCTCACGCCTGTAATCCCAGCACTTTGGGAGGCCGAGGTGGGCGGATCATAAGGTCAGGAGATCAAGACCATCCTGGCTAACACGGTGAAACCCCGTTTCTACTAAAAAAAAAAACCAAAAAATTAGCTGGGCGTGGTGGTGAGCGCCTGTAGTCCCAGCTACTGGGGAGGCTGAGGCAGGAGAATGGTGTAAACCCGGGAGGTGGAGCTTGCAGTGAGCCGAGATGGCACCACTGCACTCCAGCCTGGGTGACAGAGTGAGACTCCGTCTCAAAAAAAAAAAAGCAAGCCCTGGACTCTCTACCATGACCTTTGGGTTAGAAAGACCCAATGCTACAGTGCACACAGTCAGAGTTGCTCCTTTTCATGGGGTCTCACAGACAGAAGGGTCCCCAACAGCAGCAGCCACTCTGGCCCCCACCACAGCAGCACCTACAACCCAGGGGGTGGGTCTGGACGTCACCTGCAGAGCAGATGGGAGCAGACTGAGGTAGGGGCAGACCCAGAACATAGCTACACAGGCCAAGACAGGAGACAGGGAACACAAGAGTGATGTGCACAGGGCTAGGCACAGGCAGGTGTCTGGTAAGCGGCTGCTGGAACGAGTGTTCCCTGGGCTTTATGTTTTTTAATCCCCTCAGCCCCTACCTTTTCTTACCATCCAAGCAGCAGTGAGAGTTTTGTACATGCACTGCCCTTGAGGTAAGGGTGACATTGAAACAACAATGACAACAATCCTGGGGCTTATTAGCCATTAACAAGACTTCTTTTTTTTTTTTTTTTTTTTTGAGATGGAGTCTCGCTCTGTTGCCCAGGCTGGAGAGCAGTGGGGCAATCTCGGGTCACTGCAAACACCACCTCCCGTGTTCATGCCATTCTCCTGCCTCAGCCTCCCAAGTAGCTGGGACTACGGGTGCCCGCCACCACACCTGGCTAATTTTCTGTATTTTTAGTAGAGACAGGGTTTCACTGTGTTAGCCAGGATGGTCTCGATCTCCTGACCTTGTGATCCGCCCACCTCGGCCTCCAAAAGTTCTGGGATTACAGGCGTGAGCCACCGTGCCTGGCCAAGACGACTTTTTAAATCTATGGCAGAGCCATAGTCTTGAAAGCCATGGGTTTCATTGTGAAGAGCCAGGTGTCCTGAAATAGAAAAGGGTTTTCTCAATCCCAACACCTTGGCAAGTTTTTTGTTTGTTTGTTTGTTTGTTTTTAAATGAAGTTTCACTCTTGTCACCCAGGTTGGAGTGCAGTGGCACAATCTTGGCTCACCGCAACCTTCACCTCCTGGGTTCAAGTGATTCTCCTGCCTCAGCTTCCCGAGTAGCTGGGACAACAGGCGCCCACCACCACACCCTGCTAATGTTTTGTATTTTCAGAGGAGATGGGGTTTCACCATGTTGGCCAGGCTGGTCTCGAACTCCTGACCTCAGGTGATCCACCCGCCTCGGCCTCCCAAAGTGCTGGGTAAATTACGGGAATGAGCCACTGCACCCGGCTGACACCTGGGCTTTAAATAACAAATGCTTAAAAGCCTGCTGGGACTCAAAACCCAATGGGAAAGAAGCAATACCTGGGGATAGCTCTTCCAGCCCCAAAGCAGATGAGTTGAAGGAGGTGGTAAGACTCGGAAGGTCTGAAGGAATCACAGGAGCTGGAGCCTGGGGGTGGAGGTGGTAAGACTCGGAAGGTCTGGAAGGAATCCCACAATCACAGGAAGGGCTGGAGCCTGGGGCTGGAGGTGGTAAGACACGGAAGGTCTGAAGGAATCACAGGAGCTGGAGCCTGGGGCTGGAGGTGGTAAGACTCGGAAAGTCTGGAAGGAATCACAGGAGCTGGAGCCTGGGGGTGGAGGTGGTAAGACACGGAAGGTCTGAAGGAATCACAGGAGCTGGAGCCTGGGGGTGGAGGTGGTAAGACACGGAAGGTCTGAAGGAATCACAGGAGCTGGATGGGCCACCGTGGGCAGGTGGTAAGACTCGGAAGGTCTGAAGGAATCACAGGAGCTGGAGCCTGGGGCTGGAGGTGGTAAGACTCGGAAGATCTGAAGGAATCACAGGAGCTGGATGGAGCCTGGGGGTGGAGGTGGTAAGACTCGGAAGTCTGGAAGGAATCACAGGAACTGGAGCCTGGGGTGGAGTGGTAAGACACGGAAGGTCTGGAAGGAGTCACAGGAGCTGGAGCCTGGGGGTGGAGGTGGTAAGACATGGAAGGTCTGGGAAGGAATCACAGGAGGCTGGAGCCTGGGGGTGGAGGTGGTAAGACTTGGAAGGTCTGGAAGGGAATCACAATCACAGGAGCTGGAGCCTGGGGCTGGAGGTGGTGAACTCGGAAGATCTGAAGGAATCACAGGAGCTGGTGGAGCCTGGGGGTGGAGTGGTAAGACTCCTTGGAAGGTCTGAAGGAATCACAGGAACTGGAGCCTGGGGTGGAGGTGGTAAGACACGGAAGGTCTGGAAGGAATCACAGAGCTGGAGCCTGGGGGTGGAGGTGGTGGAGCCTGGGGGTGGAGGTGGTAAGACTCGGAAGGTCTGAAGGAATCGCAGGAGTTGGAGCCTGGGGGTTTCTTTAAGACTTGGGCTTATGGGTAGAGAATGTGTTTGCAAAAATGAAAAAAAAAACAAAAACAAAAACAGAAACAGAGCTATCCTATTAGGTTTATGGGAATTCCAGAACAAAAAAGGTTTTGCATGGCATCCAAGATGTAGCTAGGAGACTACAATCCTTCTGAGAAATAGAATAGGACAGCAATGACTGGCAGTGGGGACCCTGAGTTCAGCCTCCCAGGACCACAGGGACCCCCAAGAGCTGTGGACATCGACAGACAGGGGACAGAGCATGGCAGGCGAGGGGGCTGCACAGAGGCCAGGGCAGAGCCATGGGTATCGGCAGCTGGAATAGAGGCTGTCCCTCCAGGCCAGAGGGGATGGCCATGTGTCAAGCGAGGCCAGTGAGAACAAGGACAGCTGGGATGAGACTCCCTTCCCTGAGGGACAGGAGAGGTGACAAACCTGTCAGAAACTTAGACCACCTCCTCAGAGAAGGAAATAAGAGTTAAAGGAAGAATTCTCAAATTATTTTTTGTTGTTACACAAAAAAGGCTGCGTTTTAAACTCAAATGACTGAATTGCCTTGAATTAAGAAGCCTCATTATCCATTATCAAGGAAAAAAAGAGATGGAGAGCTACGTTAATTTCAGTCACATCTTCACATCTCTACTGTGACTGGATAAGGACTCACCACTTATGGAAAACTGGAAGCATAGGCCACATGCGGAGATCAAGGCCTACTGGGTCTTGTCCTGCTGGCAAAACCTTGCCACCCATTGCTGCGATTTAATGGGGTAACCTGTTGCTTCTGGGATAAACAGTATCTCTAGTGTGCCTGAGAACGTGGGGAGAGGTGTCTGGGACTTCTCTGACCACGGAGTCAGTAATGACAATTTGTTCTAGGTCACACCTGGGGCCCTCCATGAGCCTGGTCTGGTATGGAAGAAATTCCCCCTACTCTCCTAGAACTCATCTGGTGTCAAGTGTGTTAGGTAGTGTTGGATGGACAAGAGATCTTCTGGGAGCCAGGGGAAAGAGAGACAGCTTGGTTACAGACAGAGGTCTAGAGCGGCAGCTACACCCATCTTGAATGGAGAGGTACCTGGTGGACACTCCAGGAAGCCTGAAATAGAGGAATGCCTATGACCCACAGAAAGCCACACCGACCACCTGTCCCCTTCCCAGTCTACAGAGCAAACGTCAAGTAACTCGGATGGAGAGGGTAGATTTGGTGCTATGACTGCCCCAGAGGCGGCTGCTGATGGTGACAAAGACAGCCTGGAAGCAGGAAGGCTGGGCCCTGGAATCACAGGTGTCAGGAAATGTTCAGCTTGGAGACATCTGATCCAGCCCTTCCATTTACAGATGAGGAAACCGAGGCCCAGAGAGTGGAAGGCACTCTCATACAGCCACATAACCTTATCTGGAGCTCTTCTCCAAAGGCTGTTTCAGGGTTGCTCCTTGTTTCCAGGGTCCAGCAGCTTGGGCCCCGGGTGCCAAATACAGACACAGCCTCAACCCCATTCTAAGCAATGCTGCAGTTCTGCCTGCACCTGCCATCAGTCCTCCTGTAGAAAGCAAGACAAATCACCCATCGTGTGACCTGGCACAGGGGACTATGGAAGGCCACAGTGATGTATCTACATATAGCGCCGTGAGGAGGATGAAAGTTGTTTGGCTGGGTGTCAACAAGTGATCACTGCACCTCAAAGACCACCAGGAGAATGGCCAGCAGCGTCCCCCCTTGGAGGTGCTCCCATACTCACCTTTCTCTTCTATATATCCCCAGCCAGCCACCCAGCAGATCTGGGGGCCTCTGGGGAGGCCTGCTTTAAAGTGGGGCAGGCAGCCCGGCCCAATGAAACGCCCACACGAAATGGGAGGGGTGATCTTCACGAGGGCAATGTCGTTTCCCTCTGTTGCAGAGTTGTATTTTTCGTGAATGATGATTTTCTCCACATATCTCTCTTGCAGAGGTGCCTTTACTGGTTTATTGTTCCCGTATGTAATTTCCTTTGCTCCGAAAACCAGTCTCCAGTCATACACTTTACTGTGGGCACAAAGGTAAGCCAGGTCACAACTGGTTGGACAAAAGCCTGGTGACAGTGACCCTCAGGGCCTTCCCCTAGCAAAGGTCTGGACCAGCCCCCAGAGTCTGGCAGCCACTTGACCCAGAGCCCCAGGGAGACTCTGCACAGCGTCCCTGGGGAGCACCCCTCTCTGAGAAGAGCCGTTCTGAAGACCTCCCTCTGTGCATCCCTACACGTACTTTTTGCCAACGAAGCAGTGAGCAGCCGTGAGCACCCATCGCGAATTCAGCAAGCTGCCTCCACATGCGTGGTGCCTGTGACTGCCGTACGTGAAGATCTGGAGGCTGACCATCCAGGGCCAGGCCCCATGCTGTGCAGCCTTCCCGCCGACAATGCGGACACCACCTTGTGGGTTCTGCCTGAACCGTAACCCACAGGGGCCACTGGGGAGAGACCAGGACACAGTCAAACCTAGCATGAGCACAGCCTGTCCTTGTCACTCCACAACTGAGGGGAAGCAGGGACATGGGGTTGGGAAAGCGGGAAGAGCTTCCGGCTTCTGGGAAAGCAGGGGCAGCCTGGGCTATGTAGGACCCGCAGGCTCTAGGAAATGGTTCTGGGGCCACGACTTCTCCCATCTTGTGGGTACAGTCACAGATGGAGAAAGAGGAGGCCGCAGGAAGCCAGGACAGGCTGTATGGGCCCTGAGGGATGGCCCATCCCTGGGCAGAACAGGAGGGTAGAGGTGGGGATGTGGGACCTGGGGATAGAGGGGTGTAATGGCCTGAGGTCTTTATAACCAATCCTGGGTCGGAGACTCAGGGAAGAGTCAGGTGATGAAGGAGGTCCTGGGGCTGCAGAACTGGGTTGACAGTGATGGGAAGAGGGATAGTAGCCAGGGGCCGATACTGTGGCCCACAGGTGTAGGGGGCACACTGAGAGCAGTGGAGGTCTAGAGGTGGAGGCTCTGGGAACTGTGTCACAGGTGGGAGGCCACATATAGCTTGGGAGGTGTTGGTGTTTTGGGGTACCTTGGAGTGAGAGAGTCTACTGGGGGTTAGGGGCACAAGTAGTGTGAAGCGATGATATCCTGGGGCTGTTGGGTGCAACCACGGGTTGGGACGTCTCAACCGTCTGTGGAGGGATAAGGGCTCCCAAAATCAGGAGTTTGTGTCTTCAAGACAGTGGGGTCAGTCGCTGGGGGAGTGGGAGAGGCACAAGGAGCCCGAGGTGCTGAGGGATCCATCTCTGGAGGAAACCATGAAAGCTGAGGGTCTGGGGGCTCCAGGCTGCTGACCGTGGGAGCAGGGGAGTCCAGGTTAGGGATGTGGGTCACAGGAGCTGTGAGACCCAGGGACTGCTAAGGCCCAAGCCCAGTCTCCTTTTCCCTAGCCCTGGACAGAGGGAGTCAGGGTGGGACCTGCTCCTCAGAAGATCCTTCCCCCACCAAGGTGCCCTGACACTTACTCACACGTGGCGTTATCTTTAGCAACCACGGACACTGCCAAGACCAGCAGAATGGCAGTTGGTAGCATCTCAACCATACTCCCGGCGCTGCCTGACCTGAGAGCCTAGTGACCTCACAAAGCTCCGTGGCTGCCTGGCCAATCAGCAGGGGTGACCTCCCACCCCACCCCCAGCAGTCGAGCCAGGTAAGAGCCCTTCGCCTTAACTGGTTTGTGCCGAAGAGACTTCCTGCCTTCCTGCATAGGCTCCCCCCGCACCAGGATGATGGCGGACTCCTGTGCAGCCTCATTCCCTCTGTCCCAAGGCCAGGGTCTCCATTCCCAGTTACTCTTGTGAGGTCCCCACATCACCCAAGGCTCTGGCTTTGTGCAGGTTCGGGGTCTGCCTCTCAGGTATGCTGTAACCACTGCAGACTCACAGACTGAGGAGCGGCTCAGCCCTTCAGTGATGAGACAGTGCAACATGTTTGTGGATCAGAGGAGTCGGGGTCAGCAGATTAATTGATCCTTAATTGCTGTTGGGGAAAATTTCTTTTCCTCTTCCAAGTGCATGCTATCAACACACTTTTCCAAGAGCCATTTTGAATTTCCCTAATTTACAACTGCAAAGCCCACCTTCTTGTCCGTTGCTGAATATCATAAGGTCTCCTATCATCCTGAGTGTCTCCAGACTGCCTTTCTGTGACTGAGGTGGAGCAAGTGTTTTGTTTTCTCCTATCCTTGAATGTCAAGAGTTTTCGTCACAGCTACCTGAATATCATGAAGCATCATTTTTCCCATCTGATTGTCAGGAACTAGCATCTCACCTACCAGATTGTGACAAAAGCTTATTGCAAATGCCTGAATGTTAGAACCTTTTCCATCTCCTGCAAGTGTCAGGAGGTCACACTCCTACCTGCCTGAAGGCAGTTTTACCTCTTCCACCTGAATGTAAGATCTCAACCAGCCTGAGGGTCAATAGGTTCCACATCACCTAAGTGGGTGTCAGAAGGTCCCATGTCTCCAACCTGAGTGTCAGGACATCTCGTCTCCTCTTCCTGAGTGTTGAGTTTTCAGATTATCAGATGATCTTGATTTTTCTATTTTCTCTAACTGAATGTCATACTTATGACATCCTCAAATGAATGTTCAGTAGGTCTCATATATATTACCTAGTATCAGGGAGTGATCACCTCCTTCCTTGAAAGCAACAACAACTCTGTTTTTCCACTTCAGTGCCAGAGGTCCGCATTGCCTCCACCTACAGGTTAAGAATTCTCATCTACACCACCTAAGTGTCACCTTGTCGCATTTTCTCTACCTGAAAATCAAGAGGTCTTACATCTTCTAGCTGAATGTCCAGAGGTTGTATTTTACCTATATGAATATTCTGAAGTCTTTACTGGCATATTGGAGTGCTGGGAGATCTCATTGCCCCCATCTGGGTGCCAGGGCATGTCCTACCCTCTACTTGAATATAGTCTCATATCCCTGTCTAAGTGGCATGGAACTTTCATCTCCTCTGCCAGAGTATCATGAGGTGTCCTCTATTCTGGGTGTCCAAAGTTCTTGTCTCAGCCTCTTGAGGTCTGCAGGTATTCTCACCTCTTCCTGGTTGTCTGAAGGTCTCGTCTCCCTTACCTAAGAGTCATGAAACCTCCTATCTCCTATATGCCCTATCTGGTCCAGACACTTTATTTCCTCCATCTGAGTGTCAGGAGAATTTTTTTTTTTTTTTTTTTTTTTGAGACGGAGTCTCGCTCTGCCGCCCAGGCTGGAGTGCAGTGGCCGGATCTCGGCTCACTGCAAGCTCCGCCTCCCAGGTTCACGCCATTCTCCTGCCTCAGCCTCCTGAGTAGCTGGGACTACAGGCGCCCGCCACCTCGCCCAGCTAGTTTTTTTGTATTTTTTTTAGTAGAGACGGGGTTTCACCGTGTTAGCCAGGATGGTCTCGATCTCCTGACCTCGTGATCCGCCCGCCTCGGCCTCCCAAAGTGCTGGGATTACAGGCGTGAGCCACCGCCCCGGCCGAGATTTTTTTTATCTTTATGTCAGGTAGCCTCACTTCCTCTAGCTGAAGGGCAGGAGGTCCTATTTGATGACTTGTATGTTAATAGGTTTCAGCTCCACTACTGAGTGTTAGGAGGCCTCACTTATTTTAACTAAGCATCAAATTGTGTCTGATAAATAACCAGAAAAAGACTTTGGAAATACAATTCAAGAAATGGCAAGAAGAATTCAAGAAGTGGGCCCAAGTGCAAACAACGTTCATGCCTGTAATCCCAGCACTTTCAGAGGCTGAGGCAGGAAGATCACTTGAGCTCAGGAGTCCCAGACCAGCCTGGGCAACATGGCAAAACCCCGTCTCTATAAAAAATACAAAAATTAGCCAGGTGCGGTGGTGCCTGTGTCCCAGCTACTCAGGAAGCTGAGGCAGGAGAATCATTTGAACCTGGGAGACAGAAATTGCAGTGAGCCAAGATAGCACCATTGCACTCCTGCTTAGGCAATTGGGGTGAAACCCCGTCTAAAAAAAAAAAAGAAAAAAAATTAAAGTTTTGACTGTTAAAGAAAATATTATTCAGGTTTTTTAATGGATAGCACCTATTTCTTTATAAATATTTATGAGGTATCAATAACAAAGTCTGAAGACCCAGTGTCAATGTCTAAGACCATTATGGTTTGACTCTGCAAATCTTACCCACTTCTGATTCTAGAAGAGGCTGCCAGTCATTGTGCCTGCCCCTAGCTATAGTGATGGTTGCAGAAAAAGTACCTGGCCCAGCCCATTTAATTTTCTCATTTAATCTAATGGAAGCAACAGACATCTCAACTCAGAGTGACTTTGTTTGACCTTCTTCATGCTGTTCCAAGAGCAAAGGAGAGATGGGTGACAGGTCTGGGGCCAGAAGGTGGGGTCCCATCCGAGGGCACGGTTCAGGCTGAGGCAGAGTGCCCAGCCCAGGGGGCAGGATGGGAGCTTCCCCTCAAACTCCTCCCTGTTCTCTGCTTCCACCCCAACCCCCAGGGACCCCTCCAGCTCATCCCAGCCATTCTCGCTGCTCCTGCTCACCCCAACCACCCGTTGCCTTCGCCAGCCATACCCACTTCTGTCCCCATTCCTTATTTACCCGGGCAATCCAACTCCCACCCCAGTTTTTCTCACCCCGATCTCCAATCCCTTCCAGCCCCCAATCGCCTATTCTTCCGTTCCTGTCCCCACCGCCCTCTGTGAGGAGCAGAAACCTTATCCATCCATCCTCAGTGTCCAGCCAGCCAGGAAGGCAAGAAGATCCCAGAGGGAGTCAGAATGGTTAAGGCAGTGAAACCTTGAGGGCCAAAAAGGGGTGGGTTTCGGGCCTTCACCCAGGGGAAGCAGGTGCCTCAGGGGTGGTTTAAGCGAGCAAGTGAGGGTCTGCATGGCGCCGTGGAGAAGGACGAAGGCCCTTTGAGGCTATGGATGATGACAGCTTGAAAACCATCCTCAGACTGGGCAAGGTGGCTCACGCCTGTAATCTCAGCACTTTGGAAGGCTGAGGAGGGTGGATCGATTGAAGCCAGGAATTCTAGACCAGCCTAGGCAGCCAAGTGAGGCCCCCATCTCTACCAAAAAAAAAAAAATAGCCAGGTGTGATGGCCCACGGCTGTGGTCCCAGCTACTTGGGAGGCGGAGGCAAGAGGATCGCTCGATTCCAGGAGGTTGAGGCTACAGTGAGCCATGATCTTGCCACTGTATTCCAGCCTGGGTGACAGGGTGAGACCTTGTCTCAAAACAAAACAAAAGCAGCCTCCATGTCCTGGCCTGGCCCCAAAGTTGTCCACAGGTCTTGGGAGTGGCTGGGGGCTGCCAGCCCACAGGAAGAGCAGAGGCCACACAATTTCAAATTTTCAACATTTCCTAATCTTCATCTCATTTTTGGATTAGAAACTGAGGCCATCATAAGGAAAGGGCTGCACAGGAAGTCAAGGAGGGGGGCCATGCAAGGGTCTGCGTGTGGGAGCAGGGGGCCCCTGACTCGCTCTAGGCCTGAGTGTGCGGCATCAGGAGGGTGGGTCTCCCCAGGCTGCAGATGGAAACCTGGGTCTCCACAGGGGCTCGGAGTCTGGGGCTAGTGGCACTTCTCCACGGTGCCACTGGCCCCACCTCTGGCTAGGGTTAACCTCAGAGCCAAGGTATGAGATTGTCATTCTATCATATTCACGTGCCACCTCAACCCAGTGTGGACAGGCTCTAAAACCACTGCCCCTCCTGTGAGCAACCCACCCCTCCAGGGAGGTCACATCTCTGCAGCCCCGGCCCTCTCTCAGAGCTGGGTCCTGTGCCCTCTACTTTCTCACGGCTCCCTCTTGATTGCCTTTGCCCACTTGCCTTACTGTTTACCCTTCAAGACGTAGCTCACCACCTCCTTCCACTCAGCAGGGGTCTCTGTCCCTCCTGTTGGCTGGCCACCCCCACCAGGTGCCACCCCAGGACATGTCTTTTTTTTTTTTTTTTTTTTTTTTGAGGCGGAGTCTTCACTCTGTCGCCCAGGCTGGAGTGCAGTGGCACCATCTCGGCTCACTGCAAGCTCCGCTCCCGGGTTCGTGCCATTCTCCTGCCTCAGCCTCCCGAGTAGCTGGGACTACAGGCGCCCGCCACCGTGCCCGGCTAATTTTTTGTATTTTAGTAGAGACGGGGTTTCACCGTGTTAGCCAGGATGGTCTCGATCTCCTGACCTCGTGATCCGCCCGCCTCGGCCTCCCAAAGTGCAGGGATTACAGGCGTGAGCCACCGGCGCCCGGCCGACATGTCTTTTTTACCTCATTATCGACTGCTTACATGACTGCCTGTGTGCTCCTGAAGGATAATGTCTTGTCACTGGTGCCTGGCTCGGGGTGGGAACAAAAAGTAAACCTCACATCCACCTGGCCAGACAACCCAAGGTGAAAAGCACCAACTTGCTCTAATTTGAGATAGCACCAGGGCTGTGCAGATGCAGAGCCTGACCTCTAACTCCGACTCCAGGGAGGGCGGGTCAGAGAAGACGTCCTGGAAGACAGGATCCAGAGATCAGCCTCCAAGCTATGTATGCTCGATGCAGGCAAACGATGGGTGATCCAGGCAGAAGGAGGAGGGCATGTGTGACATAGAGCCCTGAAGCATCATGGTGGCTCGGGGACTGCAGGAGGTGAGGGGAGACTGGCGAGCAGCATGTGTGCATTCAGAGGGAGCAGGGGATGCTGGCAGGATCACAGCAGCACTGGCTGGGCCGGACTGGCTCATGGGGTCCATCCACCAGCTGCATTTACAGACAGGCTAGTGTTTGTGAGCAGAGGGCAGAAATGG